GATGCTCGATACTCGAACTCGAGGGACCATTGTTCATCTGGTTCATTTACCATCCAAAGAACTTTAACAATCATCCCACGATACAGAGAATGGTTGGGGTGTGTTTTCTTTGTTCGCTAAAATACGGTAAATGCAGCTTCGAGAATCGAAAAGTCTGTTTCTGTTTCTGCTCGCGAATCGGGAATCGGGGACTTTCGAGTTTCCCCTTCAAGGCTCACCCTCTAATTTTACAGAAATAAGGTTGTCACCCTCTCATTTTACAGAAAAATAAAGTTCTCACCGTTCAAACTTCACGCCTACCGATACCCCCCACGGGCCACATGACTTCCACGCTCGCTGTGGTCCTCGAAGTCTCGGACTCAATAAAGATAGGAAGTATGTAAGCGCGCCGTGAATTTGTTCCTGCATTTAAGTAAGAAGTATGCATATACTCAATTCCATTTCGTGCAGAAAAGTTGCTCATGCATCAACTTGAGTAACGGTTACATACGACGTCCAGAAAAGAAAATAAAAGAAAACAAAAACGGCAGTCACCTTTGTATTCTACTGGGTAACTGGGGGAGTATGTAAGTGAAATATTGTTGCCCGTTGCCCGTTGGATGAATATTGGTAATTTGGTAGGTATTGCATCAAGGCATGAAGGAATCGTAACACGTATCTGACTGGTATTTCACCAAGGAATTGAAGCAAGACTTTGAAAACACGTATCAAACTGGTAGGTACAGTATTGCATCAAGGCATTTAATTTTCAAAACACATACCTATCTCCCTAGATTTCAACCGTGTTGATACTACCAACCTACCTAGAGTATATCACCACCATTCAGTCAAAGATCGGGTTGGGACTAGGTATATACAGTACCTACGGTATTTACACAAGAGAGACAATAATCGGCATGCGCTGAACGATACGGCACTCTACTCTACTCGTACATATCTTCCTTCGGGTGTACCTGGGTGTCATCTTTGCATTCGACCTTAATAGATCATGGCAGTTAGATATCCACCTGCACGCCTCGCGGTGTTTTTGGTTTTTGCTGAAAAGTTTTCTCTCCGACGAAGGCAGTCATCAAGTACTTACTTACCAGGTAGGTACCTAATATTCCCGGTGGGTAACCATCCGTATCTCTGCCCAGTGTCCAGAGGAGTCAGAACTCCGCAGGAGAATATTTTCCGCGACACAAAGACGAAGGTGAAGGCGAAGACGAGTCAGTCGTCACATGGATATTCCGATATTCCGACATTCCGACATTCACATTCCCACGTTACAGCGATGCGACGTTACCACGAATTGTTACACCGACAGCGGGTCGATATTGCTATGCATTCTCACAGTACTACCTTAAGGGAAAGGAGCACGGACTGTCTATCTACTCTACATATCGGACCAAAGCCAACGGCTATCACTACTTTATGTGGGTGCGTACCTCCTACCAGCCCTATCGCGCGCACGCCCGAGACTCGGGAGTGTACTAGTTAGTAGATCAGGCCCACGGTCCCACCAAGCGAACAACGCTAAATACTCTAAACGTCAAACACTGGACGCTGGACGCTGAGGATAAATTGAAGTTCCGCAGAGAAGTGAGAAGACTGAACTGGACGTCAGTCCGATTTTCCGTGTCAATTCGCAGCTTCGGGTTGAGCAGCGTAGGGCAGCAGGACATACTGTCTACTCGTAGGCAGCACCTAGGTAACACTCTTCGTGCTCTCTTGTACCAGAACCTGCACTGCACAACGTCGACTGCTGCCGTCGAAGTAGAGTAGCCGGATCTGCCGAGACTCGTGGAGAGCAGTACATACGCCAATCTTCAGCCAGCAGAGCAGAGACTTCGAGGAACCGACGTGGCTTCGCGGCGGGGGAATCGACGATACGACGTCGGTATCAGGCACCGGCTGCCACAAGCTGCGTCCCCAACAGAAAACACTGGTCCGTTCGGAGGTCCATTGCCTATCGACGATTGCAATCAGCCATGTGAGGCTTTTGGGCTTTGGGCTTCGAGCTAGATCCTTGCATGCACTGTCTGCCGTCTGCTGAAAACAGCGACTGGTACTAGTAGTGCCTGAGATACGCCTCGTCTCTGAGAGCAAACAGTCTGGATTCAGATATCAACTGCAGCGTGCAGGTTTGCGTGGTTGCCTTGGGCGAGATGGATCTGGAGTCGATACCATACCATACCCGAAGGCATACCCGAACCAGTGTGTTGTGTTGAAAACCTGAAAAACCTGCGACGACGACGAACAACGTGAGAGGTGGCCACCGCTATCTCGAAATCGCAAACTTCCATTCGACAGAGCAGTGCTGCACCCGGTCCAGGCTCCAGCACATCTAGAACGGGGCTAGCTAGGTGTCCGGTAGGTAGGTATCACTTTTGGAGCCCCTCGACTCCACGACACCGGTACGGCACTTCTCTTCTCTTTGCTTCCATGAGACTTGAGACATGACACTGCATCTTCGGGATCCATCGGGGATCCTTCGGGGATCCATCGGGGATCCTTCGGCTGCTGCGCAAACTCTGGGACGCACGTGTAGGCAGCAATATGTCTCGGGCACGGCTTCTGTGGAGCAACGAGATGCGAGCGAGCGCCTCGCGATAAGAGCGAAGAGCGAAGAGTGTTCCTGCAGGACGATGAGCAGTGAGTGCATCGCGGAGACGGAAGGCGAGGGCCAGGGCCATACGTGCGAGAAACCACCTGTCGATGCCGTCAGGTACCGTACCCGACCGCACTTGGCCTGGTCGACGTGGTCACCGATTCCACCAGAGGATGGCGTCGAAACCGAGAGACGGATTGCCTCGACCTGCGCCTTCATGTCTGCACCGCTGTGATAGCCGGTACCCTGGGATGGCTGACGTGTATGTAGCGCGTCGCGAAATTCCCTCATCCGGCTTGTGCGTGTGTGGGTGTGTGTGTCTGTGTGCATTGTTCGTTGCAGACAGACATATCAGGCTCTCCAAGTGCTGAGAGCTGAGCGCTGGGTTTTCGTATCGCGAATATGCACGTAAGAGAGCCCCACAGTAGAGTAACAGTGTGCATCGCAGCGATGTGGATGGCGGGATGCGCATGCCGGTGGGTGGAAGTGGTTCCTGCGCAAGCTCTGCCAACCAGCCAGAGTGAAAGTTCTTTTCCTGGTTGCACAGCACATGTGCAGGGTACATACCCAGCTGTACGCAGCGAGGTGCAGCCAGCCAGCCATATGGGCTGGATTGGTCTTCCAGTGACGACGCTCGTTCGTCTTGGGTTACAGCCGGGGCGAGGAAGAAGTTTCGTTTCTGTGCCGTGTTCCCCACGTCCCGCCTGCAAAGCTCAATTTTGTTTAGAGTGTAGCGACGAATCGTTCCGGAAAGCACAACGCCCACCTCCCCCACGCCCACCTCCCCCACGCCCACAATTCTAGTCTCCATTCGATTGTGCGGCGCCGGTGGCTTGCCATCCATGAAACAATATGATGCTCCCCTTGCTCGGCCGCGCCTGTCACGTTGCCCAGGGGACAAGTCCCCGCGAGCGGTACAACACATGTACATGACCGACCACGGTGGCACCTGAGTACTCTACGTCGTATGTCCATAGGGCTCTCTCAGCACGAAGGCTGGCATGATGGACCCGAGCGGGACATGGCGCCATTCACGCGCGGAGACCGTTTCCTGGTAGCGAAGGGGCGGCTGCCGCCGCGGGCCAGAGAAGTCCCATCTCCTCTCGGATGCGCCCAGGGCTGGCGAAAACTGGGTGCGGGATGCGTGCTGGTGATTGGGCTGGCCCCGGTGTGGACTTGACTCCGTGGGGTGGGATGATGGAGCTTCTATGTCTACACCAACCAAGTAACTACCAGTATTGAGAGTGCCGGTGTGATATAGTAGGTACATCAACCAACACATGCGATTGCGGGCGCCACAGTCATACAGAGAGTACCTGAGTTCTTACATACCTCTGATGTTTGATGTCTGATGTCTGATGTTTGAAGTCCGAGCGCTGCGGGCCCGAACCTGTCTCGCCCGGATCAGAAAGTGAGCAGGGTGGCATGACAGCTCGTACCTGCCAAGGAGCATCGATGCGTGGCCAGGATCAGGGGTTTGCTGATGATCCCGGAACATCATCGGATCAGAGGTGAACATCGAAGTGTTCGACGACAGAGCAACAGCAGAGGAAAAAGGCCACACAATGCAACCACCGCCTCGCCGCCGGGGCGTGCCATCGTCCGGTCGTCCGAAATCAGTGGTACGTACGTGCGGCCCTCAGGAGCTCCCCCGTGGAAAAGCGCCAGCCTTATCCGGCCGGCCTGTCATCACGGGTTCATTCGGGCCGTGTCGCGGGCCACGGCCACCAAAAAAAAGAAAGAACGAAAAAAAAGTTGCCTCTTCGAATGGATGGCGGCAACGGGCTACAGGAAACGCAACCAAAACGCCTCCAGACGCCATGCTCCAACATATGGCCACTCGGCCATTATCCGGCGCAAGGAGGTATATAGCACAGGATTTCTGCCCAGATCTCGGTCCCTTCTTCAACCAGCATCACTCCTTGAAGCGGCTCATCACCACCTTCTCTTAGACTCACGATATACTTAGGTATGTGTGCTTGACTATTCCTGCAGATATTGTTTGCTATCCCGTTCAGCCTGCCGCCCACCACTCATGGCTTGTCTGTGACATTCCCAAGCTTCGGCGTTGGATGAACAGACCCAGTTCAGCCGTCTATCATTTCCTATCTCCCCTGCAGCTGCATCTCGAACAGAACAGAAGCTGCACCACACAATCCTGTGGTGCCCCCTCCCCCTCAGTTCACATTACTCCTCTTCCTATTACCTGTTGATGCCACCCCACCTCTCCCTTCCACCAATAGCCTTCGTTTCCTCACCTGGCCATTGTCCCCGGCTGTCCTTCTTCCCTCGCGCCCCGGATTCCCTTCTTAACTCGCTCCTCCGCCTCCCCGTCCATCACTTCTTTTTCGCATCCACATCTGCCAGTCTGTGTATTGGCACCTTTTACTGACATCTTACCAACGGAAAGGGACATATCCTATCCATCTACACTCATTGTCAGGCATCTGCCATTACATATCTCTGCTACATAACTTCAAGACCCATATTTCACACCTCAATCAAAATGCAGATCAACGGACTCATTACCATTGCTATGGCTGGATTCGCTGCTATTGCGGCCGCGCAACCCCACAAGCACCACCTGCACCTTCGCCACGCTGCGATGCCTCGTGATGCTTTGAACGACTATTCCACCACAGTGGATCAGCCTGCCGGGCCCACCGGCTCCCCCCGCGAGGACAAAGTACACTCCACCGAGCGCTTCGAGTTCGCCGCTACGAAGTCCTCCGCCCCCGTTGCGAGCAAGACCCCCGAGGCGGAAGCCCAGGGCAAGAGGAAGGCGGTATCTTCTGGCTCTGGCATGGACCGCGACTTTCCCGACGGGAAGATCTCGTGCACCGAGTTCCCTTCCGAATACGGCGCCATCAAGACTGACTGGATCACCAAGACTGGCTGGTCGAGCATCCAGAAGGATGGTGGCAACGACGATCACATCGGTGTTTGCACTGACGGTGCGCTGTGCAGCTACGCCTGCCCCGCAGGCTATAGTAAGGCGCAGTGGCCGGAGGTGCAGCCGGCTTCGGGAGAGAGCATGGGCGGTTTGGAGTGCAAGAACGGAAAGTTGTATAAGACCAACAGCTCCTTCAACAAGCTTTGCCGCGCAGGAAAGGGAACCGCGAGGGTCTCCAGTAAGCTTGATCAGCACGTAGCTATCTGTCGGACCGACTACCCCGGTATGATGATCTTCCATCTTAAATAATAAAATATGTACTCATTCCCTACTAGGATCCGAGAACATGGTGGTTCCATTGTCGTGTACTCCGGGCTCGACGCAGGAGTTGACCGTTCCAGAGGCGAGCAACAGCTACGTCTGGCAGGGTAAGCCTTCGTCTGCTCAGTACTACGTCAACAACGCCGGAATCAGCCTTGAGGACGGATGTCAGTGGGGCACACCGGACGGCGGATTGGGCAATTGGTCGCCGGTTGTTATCGGAGCCGGCTACTCCGACGGCAAGACGTGGTTGTCCATCAGCCAGAACAACCTCAACAGCGACCCGCTTAACTACAACATTCGGATCGTCGCCGAAGACGGATCCAAGATCAGCGCCGAGTGCTCTTACGAGAACGGAAAGTTCTCGAACGGCGACCCCGTCGGTTGCACTGTCGCTGTCGACAACGGAGGATCGGCCAGGTTCGAGCTGTACTAGTGGTACCTCGTCTACAGCCTTATCTGCACAGTTTGTTCATTTTGTTTATATTTTTGGTCTCTGTCTCATAACGGGGAGAGTTTTCTTTTCTGTTTCCTTTTTTTCTCTCTTTTCTTTCTTCATCCTCCCCGGCAGGATATGCATCGTTATAATGTCCTGAACCATTTGGTCGCTATTTTTTCTTTTCTATGGAGTTTGTAAATTTTGGGGCCAGACATCGGATCGGATTTGGGACATTGTATCGCACTGCATTGCCGCGCAGGGAGAAATTGAAGGAGACAAGACGCACGCAGGCTAAGGAAAGAGAAGGAAACGGGATGGAAACTACAATTTTTTCCTCCCCCCCGGTGGGGAACCAGAAGGATGAATGGGGAAAGGGATAGAGGATGGAGTTTTGTTTTGGAGAGGTTTGGGTTAGGGGCGGTGCATCTGAAGACTTTCATACCATGCTGTTTGGTACGCGGATAGGAGGGAGGACAACCTCGATACTCGACCGGTGGTGGAATATTTTTGACGGATGTCTACTTTCTATGTACATATTCTGGGTTTGGACTCGAGACGATACAATTATTTCTTTTCCTCTATTACCTACTATACCTAGTAACATTTGATTAACCTTTCTTTGTGAAGCTTAGTTCGATTACCGCATCTGGATGGTATTATACAAACTTCAGTAACAGCTGCTTTTTCTTCAGTGAAGGTTGGTTTCCTTATGGAGGAGCAACACTCGTCGTGGTGGCAGTGGAATTGTGAATTGCCTTCTCTTGTCTTTCTTCCTTATGTACTTGCTTTTCTTCTTCCCTACGTCTTTTTCGCAGCTCATCTTTGGTGTCTACTTTCGTTTTTGCTGGGCTGTACCTTCCATTTCTTCCATTTCTTCCAGCCCGCAAGAACAAAAACAAAAAACAAAAACAGAACAAAAAGCATCTTCCTTCCGTTCCTACCGCTTTCCGGAACAGAGTCTACTGTGTCTGCGGTTTCATTCCGGAGAATATTTCGAGAGGGATTCAGGAGTTGGGAGTGAGGAGGGGTGGGGATATTAATAGCTCTGCGGTACTGCAGTCTGCAGTGGTAACTGCGGCCTGCGGTAGGGTCTGCGACTAGCAGTGGTGTACAGGTGGACTATCTACAGGTGGAGTGATATGATATGTAACTACAACTTACTGGGTAACTATATTGGTAGTTACATAGGTGGTAAAGACCAATTACAACTACAACCACAACTACAGCCTTGAACTGAGTTCCAACATGCGAGGCCGTAGAGTGGTTATTTGGTTACCAACTATATCCAAGTAACTACAGTACTTACTACTGCTAGGTATAACATATGTTTGTACTTGTTCAACCAACACGCCCAATTTTCACCCAGTCAGCCAGTCAGAATCGGTCAGTTGTAACCACTTATCAGCCGAACCGCCGATTCCTCCAAGCACCTCCAAGGACCTCCAAGGAACGAGCGGGTAGTCGCCGCGCGCGCACTCCAGGCACTCGGTCAGCTTCGGCGGCGGTTGGCCGTCTCGTCTCGTTTCGTTGGTTTGTGTGTACTCTACTGTGGGCACCTACTGTAGTCTGTGGGTACTCTACTGTAGGTACCAGTTGACTGGTACATCTACGGTACCGTACGGTACGGGAGGACGGGCTGCGAACCTGCGGATCAACCGTGAATTGCGTGCGGCCTATGATAGGTGGTAGAGTGCTTGCAGCAGGGCTGGGCTTGCGGGTTCCTGATGTCAGCTGTACAGTGCTGCGATATGATGCGACGCTGCCTGATGGCTGACTCTGATATGCCGGCCGAACGGTCTGGCGGCCGTGCACCTCGGCATAGACGGAGGGAATATCGGACACCAAGCAAAGCACTAGGACGCCAAGCAGTGGACAGCATAATACGGTGGCCAAAGGGGCCAATACTAATGGGATAGTTGGATATGAAGTTAAGTAATGATATGGTAAGTAAAACAAACACACGGAAAAGCAAGGAAACGGCGAGCAAGCAGCAAGCAGCAAGCAAGCAGGCAAACCAGACACAACGATCCTCCGCCCCTCCGCCCCCCCTCCCCCGCCCGATCTATAGTAATAACAGCAGTGTCAAAAAAGCACCCCAAACTCCCACGCACAAATACAATTATCTTCGAACCTCACAGCACACACCCCCTCCCTCCGCTTCCATCAACCCCTCGCCCTCCTCCCCTCGGCGACGACCCTTCCCACTCTCGCGGCGACCTCCTCCACGCCCCAACTCGCCACTCTCGCCTCGGCCATCCTCTCCTCCGGCGCGAGTACCACGCCCACAACCATATCTCCATGTGGCGCACCGTCAACCTCAGTACCGGTCTGCATCACTACCGCTCCGCGGACCGTCTCGACAGTGATACGCTTTGGCACGCCAAGGCCCATACGGCACGCGGTGTCGTGCGCGCTGAGGTACGCGTGCGATAGCGACTGCAGCTGCTGCGACTGCGAGACGCTGCTGCTCGTCGATAGGATCGCGTGTCCTGTGGAATCGGTGATGTGCGCTACTAAGGGCGCGGGCGCGAGGGTGGTGAAGTGCGTTTTGAGAGAGGGGGCAGTGGGGGTAGACATCAGAGTAGTGGAGTGGTGGATGTGTGTAGATGTGTGTAGATGTGGGTGGGGTGGTGGGCGCGACGGGTTGGAGGCGTGGAGGGTGTCGTGTGTCGTGTGTGCTGTGTGGCGGGCACCCGGAGTCGGAAACAAAGCGGAAACAAAGCGGAAACGGAGGAAACGGAAGAAACGGGAGCGTCGTCGGTCGAAGCGTAGTTCGTCGTTGGGTCGCGTGTGGTCTCCCTAACCTTCGCACTTGCACAACAGGACTAGCTATCCAACGTAGATACCTAGGCCAAACAGAAAACCAAAGAGCGTGAGAAAGAAATAAAAGGAGGGAATGAAGAGAGTAATAGGTAGGAGAAGAAAGAAAGGGAGGATACCTACTACAGTAGTAGACCGAGGAGAAGGTGGTGCGGAACGGAACTATTACGGCAAGTAAGCAAAAAAAATTATTACGGGAGGCGCAGAAGTTCGCGTTAACGGGTTACGTGCTCGTGCTTGCTCATGGAGAGGATAAAGTGAGACATTTGGATTACAAGATGAGGGAGAGAGAGGGGCGAAGGGTGAGGGAAATGGGAAAAGGAAACAGAAAGAACGAAACAGTCAGAGATAGAGGAGAATATAGAGACAACTTATGGATAGAGCGCTCGAGACTCTCTGTCTAGATATGTTCCATGATTCTGCAAGAATTAATTAACCACCCGCAAGCTGTAGGCAGTGATCGGTGACTGGTCGAATGGGAAGCACGTATGTAACCACATCCATGCGTGGCTGGCATGTGCTTCTAACGCAGCTTCCCCTCCATCTCAATCTCCATTGACACCTCACCACCATCTGACCCACGACCGAACAGCTCCCGCGACAACATCCACAACAACCACGGAACCCTACACATCTACACCACGCACCACCGATGGCAGACGAGGAAGCCGCCAAGGCCGAGAAGCTCGCTGCGGCCAAGAAGCGGGTGTGTGTGTTTCGCTCCGGGTCGGCAGTGGTGGTAGTGGTGGAGAGCTGACACGAGCTATGTACTATAGTTCGAGGAGCTGAAGAAGAAGAAAGGCAAGAAGGCAGGAAAAGCCGGCGCCGCCGCATCAGCGTCATCGTCGAGGCCAGCCACACCCGTAGAGAAGGACGAAGCGGCCGAAGAGGAGAAGACGGAGGTGCCGGAGGTGACGGAGGCCGAAGCATCCACTCCCACTCCCGCCGCCGCCCCCGAGGAGGAGGAGGAGAAGACCGAGCCAGAGACTACGGAGGCTGCTACTACGGAGGCTACTACCACGGATGCCGCTGCTGCGGAGGAGACTGTAGAACTGTAGGTCCACCACTTGGGCTTGTGGGGGTCCCTCCGCGTACTTACTTCCCGCAGCGAACCCGCGGCGACCCCCGACGCCGAAACGGCCGATACCGACAGTCCCGGCGAACTCCAGTCCGCGCAGGCCCGCGCATCATCGATCCTGGCGCGCCGTGCCTCGCAATCGCACTACCGCAGACCGTCGATAAACGCTACGGATATACTGCGCTCGGCCAATAAGTCGCCGTTGAGCCCGACCGATGTGCCGGATATATACCACAGGCAGGCGGAGACTATATCGAAGCTTACGGAGGACAATGAGAAGCTGGCTGAGGATGTCGAGAAGCTCAAGGCCAAGGAGAAGCGGCTGGCGGAGATTGAGGCGGAGAAGGATAAGCTACAGGAGCAGCTCGCGGAGGTACGGGAGGAGCTTAGAGGGGTCAAGGGACGGATCGATGATGCCGAGGCGGGCAAGAAGACGAGTGAGGAGGAAATGGAGAAGATGGTTGGTAACTTCAGGTAGCCATGCGGTGTGCAATGCTGACGACCGCAGAAATCCGAGCTCGAAGCTTTGAACCGACAGACCTCTCACTTGACATCGCAGGCTACCGCTAAAGACAAGACCATCTCCGAGCTCCGCCTTGCCTCGTCCGACTCGTCGAACTCACAAGACCGCGAGTCCCTCACTGCCAAAGAGGACCAGATCGAGAACATGGAAATCGACTTCAACAAACTGCGCAGCGAACTTGAACGCACGCAAAAGTCGCTATCCGCAGCCGAGGAGTCGCTGAAGGAGAAGGAGACCGCCAACGAGGCACTACAAGAGCAGCTCTCAGCCGCACAAAAAGAGCTGGAAGCAACCAACACGAAGATGGTGGAGGAAGCCACGCGGCACTCAGCGCTCGAGTCGCAGCTCGCCGCGGCCAAGGAGGAGCTCGACGTCGTCAGATCCGACATCAAGATGAAGAACGCGCAGATCACCAGTCTGGACAAGGACCACTACACGCTCAAGACGATGTACCGGGACGCGGAGGCGAAATCGCAAGAATCATCGCGCACCGCGCTCACCAAGGGGCGCGAGGCACAAGATCTCGAAGACGCACTTGCCGAGGCGAAGCGCAACGCCAGCCAGCTCGAGGCCGAGCGCGAAGACCTCAAGATCAAGCTCGAGCGCGCGCTCACCGAGAACCGCAAGCTCACGGGCGGCGCGAATGCCTCGTCCGACCACGACGAGGTCGACGAGCTCGAGGATGCGGAGCGCATGCGGCTGCGCGAGCGCGTCCGTGTGCTCGAGGAGCAGCTGGACGCCGAGAGAAAGCGGCAGCCAAACCACCACCACGGCGAGTCGCAGCCGCCGTCGACCACGCAGACCAGACATAATAGGGGCATGAGCATGGTCTCGGAAGGCAGCTTCCTGAGCGACGACGCGGACTTTGGCGAGATGATGAAGCAGCAGATGGCCGCCGCGCGGGATAAGGAGGAGGCGGCGGCTGAGGAGCGCAGGAGGGCCGAGATGGAGCGGCTCGAGCGCATCCGCGAGGTAAAGCGCGGCCTTGAGAAGTGGAAGGGCTGGAGAATGGATCTCACACTGGTCGGTGGCAGTCCACATGGCCTGGGGGAAATGTTTGAAGTGTAGGTAGAACAAAACCAACGGCGAGTGATCGATGGAGCGGAAATTTGTCGAGTGACCACACGTGACGTTACCCTCCGTCCCCACCACTTGCGGCTCCAAATATTTTTTCCTCAGCGCAGAGATACACCTTTAGTAGTTCGCGCAACCCACCACCAAACTCCACCACCACCGAACTCCCCACCACCACACTCACACCTCACAATGTCCACCCTCTTCAAAACCGTAACAACGTCCGCCGACGACAAGCCGGAAAAGCCCGCCTCGACCAAATCGCGGGTGCTGATCCTGTCCTCCCGCGGCGTGACGTACCGGCACCGGCACCTTCTCAACGACCTGGTCGCGATGCTGCCGCACTCGCGCAAGGACGCAAAGCTGGACACCAAGTCGCAGCTGCACTACCTCAACGAGGTGGCCGAGCTCTACAACTGCAACGGCGTCATGTTCTTTGAGGCCCGCAAGCGCCAGGACCTCTACATGTGGCTCGCCAGGAATCCGAACGGGCCGTGTGTTAAGTTTCATATCCAGAACTGTGCGTCTTCTCCCGGCGTGCTTGTTATTGGTGGGGGGGGGGCTGATAGGGTGGGGGGATAGTGCACACGATGAGCGAGCTCAACTTCACGGGTAACGCACTGCGGGGCTCGCGCGCAATCGTCAGCTTCTCGAAAGACTTTGATATGACGCCGTCCGCCGCGCTGATGAAGGAGATGCTGTGCCACACGTTTTCGGTGCCGAAGGGCACGCGCAAGTCGAAGCCGTTCATTGACCGCGTGGTATCCTTCACGCTGGCCGACGGGAAAGTGTGGGTGCGCCACTACCAGATCAATCCCACTGCCTCCACTAGCACCAGCGAGAACGAGGTCGATGCGAAGAAGAAGAAGCAGGAGGAGGATGATGTCGAGCTTATCGAGATCGGACCCAGGTTCGTTATGACGCCCATTGTGATCCTGGAGGGAAGTTTCGGTGGGCCGGTGGTGTTCGAGAATAAGGAGTTCGTCAGCCCGAATGCCGTCAGGGCGGCGATCCGCCAGAAGAGTGCGGCGAGGGCGGGCGGCAGGGATATGGCGAGGACGAAGCGCGTGGTCAAGAAGCGTGAGGTCGAGCGCGAGCAGAAGATCGCGAAGATGACGGAGGAGGATGTGGATGATTCGGTGCTGTTTGCGTAATGTGGGAGACAACGGGGGAGAGAGGGAAAAGTGCTTTTGCTGCTCAGTTTGGACTTTGGGATCGCTTCGGATTGGATGGGATGGCATTGGATTGTGTATATATGCATGCGTCTACCTAGTTTTACACGGTAATGATAACTCGGATACCCGGTGAAAACAACCGCTACCACTCCTTGATGAGCTTATTCCCCTCGACTACCCTCTCATCGAGCACCTTTCTCGCCGCCTCCGCGCCCACGACCGGCAGCGTGCCCCTCTCCAGCAGTCCAACCTGGACTAACACACTCGCCTGATCCCAATAGACATGTTCCCTAACCAGCCTGCCAGCCCTAACGGCGACGACCGTAACAAGCGGCACCTCGACCTCCCTCCCCGTCGGCTCCACACCCGGGAGCATCCAGGGGATCTCACACGTATGCCTAAAGCTGACGACCACCTCGTCCACGATCCTGTCGGCACCCACAGTGCGACTAACCAGCGTAATCCTCAAACTCGGCGGCGTGCCGGGAATAAAAAACTCATCGTAGAACCTCTTGAGGCCGTGCTCACCCGAGGCGCCGGTGAGCGTGGGTACATGCAGGACCGTAGCACCGGGTGCGAGCGCGCTCGTGGTCGCGGCCGCATCGCGGTCCGAGAACTTCGCGAGAAGGTGCCCGTCCCACAGCGCCTCCAGGTCCCGGCCCGGACCGGGCACGGAGCCGATGCAGTCGCGCAGGAGCGCGAGCGTGCGAGAGAAGGCGAGGCTCGCGGAAATACGGTTGTACGTGGAGGGCGCGGAGCCGTCGGCGAAACCTGCGGCGGAGGAGTACAGGCGGATTCGTAGAGAGGGCGAGGCAGGCGTGGAGAAGGGGCTGTCTGAGGGGAGGTGCAAAAGGATTTGCACGCCCGGCTGGAAGTTCGTGCGTGGGAGGGTGGGCGGGTAGTAGGCTGCTACGCATTGGAGTTGTCGCGAGGGCTGAATGGCGAATTGGAGCGCGGCGGTGGCGGCGGTGCCGAATGCTGTTGGTGGGGTTAGTGGGGGCGGGAGTGGGCAAGGAGTGGGAAGGGGGTGGACCGATGATGCCGTATTTGTCGTTGCTCTCGAGGTCGTCGGCGGCGTCTTCTATGCCCCGGACTGTGGCGTGCGTTAGGAGGTGGATGCTGTAGCCTTCTGCGGCCCAGGGCTCGATGTCGAAGGTGGGCGTGTCGGTTGCGATCAGGATCGTGGGCTTGGTGGGGGACATTGTTGCGATTGTGGGTTCACGCCGGTGGTTGACGCGGATGTGGTTTATGACGTCGAGTATTCTGTAGACTAAATACTTGGTTAAGACACCTGCTGCGCTGACCGGTGCGGGGTTAACGTGCTCTGGTTACAGATAAACGAGTTGCATAGTATGTCACTCTGCGCCGAGTCTCTGATTGCTATCAATTCTTGGGCATCATATCAATGTCTGTCTGCTGATCGAACTGAAAGTACTCGTACATCCCTCACCGCTGCATATGTGCCGGCAGCGAATAACCCCTTGACATGAAATCCCTATTCTTTCCGGGCTTATGTTCATCCTCCTTCTTGCTAAACAGCGTTTGGATATTATCGCTCATCAGCAATTTCCGCTGCTCGCTCTTGAGCTTCTCATCTTCCATCACCTTGTTGGTCAATGCCGCCGCCGCAGGATTTCGTATGCTCGACTCCTTCTCCTTTGCCTTCTTGGAGCTCTTGGTGGATGCATCGTCAGCCTTCCGTTTCTTTGCCTTCTTGTCGGACAGCTTCTTGAGTGCGTGTGTGAGTCCCTTCTCTGCCAGCGTCCTGACGCGCTCCTTCAGTCGCTCGATCTCGGCGGGTTCGTCGGGATTGATTGGGATGATGTCGGTGTCTTCGTACGGCGTACTGCACTGCACAACCATCAGTGCCGGCCCCCAAAGCTGCAGCCGAATATCCTACCACTAGACACCCGCCCTCCTTCCCGCCGATCTCGCGCACCGCACTCTGATCAAACGCATGCCCACACGGCACAACATAGACCGCCTTCCCACCGGGCCCCAGCTCCTTCCTACTAACAGAGCACACCCACTTCGACCTCCTAGCGCTCTCTCCATCGGCCTTCGTATCCTCCTCGAGCTGCTCGAACCTCACTTCCACAACATCCTTGAGACTCTTGACGCGCCCATCCAGCACCTCCTCGCCATCACCGAATGCGCCGACACCATGCAGCAGCCACTCAATGATGCTGTCCTTGTTGTACAGTATCCCCGCCGAGTCCGACACGATCGGCGCCGACAATGGCTTCTTCGATAGCGGGCACGTGCTCCATCGGTACTCCCGCGTCTGCGCTTGCGTCGAGCGCACCTGGCTGTGGGTAGGATTGCGTGCCGCGTTCTTGACGAGTTCGCGTCGCGTCGGGATGCTTGGTGGCGAAGAAGGTGTCAGCGTACTCGACACGAGAGAGAGAGAGACTTGACTGTAGATGCGCGCGCGGGGGGGAGGGGGGATTAACCTTCCTCCGTCGTTACCCATGGCTGCGGATCTAGCTGTGTAACTGGTTTGTTCTGGTTTGTCGGGAAGTGGGGAATTGGCAGGCGTTTCTCGGTCTCGGTCTTGGTCGCGGTCGCGTTGCTGGAGCTGAGCTATCTAGGTACAAGTTGGTGGGAATGTTCAGTTTCTGCGCAGGCCGGGGTGAGCGACTTTTCACTTGTCCAATCCCGGCGTAGTGGCGACGAGTGGCGGCGAGTGACTCACCACAGAAAAGCCGGGAACTTGGAAAGGTCAAGGGTGCCGCTAAACAGGAACAAGACAAGGACAGAGCTGGCCGAAGCGATGCGGTCGGTTATCTGATTGTGCAACTTGAACGTTGGAACGGCGGGGTGATGAACGCGTGACGATATCGACGCGGTCAGGATATCTGGTCTCTGCCCAGTGCGTGGGTGTCCGCAGTTCTCCGGATTGAACGCTCTGGCCATTTCAAAGGCACTCAATCACCCGACTGTTTCAGTCCACATACCGGTAGTTACCGTGAGCTCCAGCCTACACGTAGGTAATCTGCGATGGCTGGTAAAAGCTCCCAAAGCACAGAAGCGACCCTGTGTAGGAGGTATCTGCCATCTCGACGATCACGCCAGAAGTGCCGCTCTGGTGATCTCTGTTTCTGCTGCTATTGTAGGTACATACCTCATATCATACCTATCGCACGCAGTAACGGGCTACTATACCTGCACCATAAGCCACGGCGAAGAACCAGTTCTCTTTCCCGCGTCTCAATCGATTCCTGATTCCTCACGGCCGCACGGATGCTAGAGTAATTATTCTTCTTCAGCCAACTCGTTCGTCGCTGGTGCCTGATCAGCCCGTGCCACGCTATCCGGGGGCTGTGCTGTCCCTCTCAAAGTATCGTAAGAGTCACCGACGCGACACGTCCCCTGTCCTCGCATCGTAAGAGTCATACTCCCACCTAAGCTAGCCTCAACGCGTTGTCACGTTGGGCGTGTCAGCTACGCGTAGTTTTCGCGCTGCGCAATGCATTGAGTCTCACAATGTGGAAGCTGCAACGGCTGAGGCGGAGGCGGGGAGAGGGGGAGAGAATAGAGTACATAAAGGTCCCGCGCTGTCCCCGATTTCTGCGGGTCTTCAATTCAAGCACACGAACACGAACGAACAAACTCGCAATCCCGCAATCGGCACGATATTCTGCACTGCAATTGACTGCTGGCTATTGAACCGACAATATACCTCTTCTTTCTTCCTCCCTAGAAAACCACATCTGTCCGGACCGCAATGGCCAAAATATTCGACGGCTGCGTGATCGCCGTGAGCGGATCGCACAGAGGACATACTCAGAGTAAGTTCTATCTATGCGGTCGCTTCGATCCTTGGTGGCGCACGCGCACTTGAAATCCGTCCTAGTCGCTAACCGAATCGTAGCTCAAGTACGTTTCCGTATATAGCGTGCCGTCAATTGACCCTGAACTTACACTCGCTCGCCTCCACCTCCAGATCGAACGCAGCGTCAAACGCAATGGCGGAGTATTTGACAAGACTGTCGATGCGAACACAACACATCTGGTCAGCAATGAGGCTGACGTCGCGAAGGGGTCTGCTAAAGGTTGCTACTTTTGCCCCCGCAGTCGCTGGTTGGTTAATTGGTTGGTGCTGGTGCTGATGTGGTGTGCGTAAAGTCAACCAAGCCATCGACGCCAACGTCGCCCTCGTCTCCATCGACTGGCTTCTAAAGTCGCTTGACGCGGGCGCGAAAGAGCCAGAAGCGGAGTACGCACTCGATGCGACCGCGGTGGGCTCGCAGCCCAGCGGGAATAAGCGTACTGCCAACGATGATGCCGATGAAGAAGAGGACCCCGTCAGCAAAAAGGTCAAGGCTGTTGACGGTACTGCAAGACCGAAGCGCAAGGCGGCTACTCCGAAGCCCGCAGATGCCCCGACAGCTGCTGCTGCTACTACCCGCTCGAGAAGGGGGAAGTCGGCGACTCCGGCTCCCGCGGTGAAGGAGGAGGATGAAGATGAGGATAGCAAGAAGGTCGCGGTCGGAAAGGGCCGGCCGAAGAAAGTTGCTGTCCCGCCTACTCCTGTAAAGGAGGAGGAGGAGGAGGAGGAGGAGGGGAATAAGGATTCTCCTCCCGAGAAGAAGAAGAAGGCTTCTGCGAAGGGCAAGGCAAAGGTCAAGGGCAAGGGCAAGGCAGCGGTCAAAGCCGAGGACGAAGAAGAGGAGGAGGAAAAGGAGAATGTTGTGATGAAGACAGTGGTCAAGAAGGGAAAGGCACCTGTCGACGAGCTATCCGGACTCGCAAAAACCTACCATGTCTACGTCGATGACACTGGCACCGCCTGGGATGCCACTCTGAATCAGACCAATGTTCGCAACCATTCTTCTCGTCGGTTCAGATGAACCCCGCTAACTCGCGCAGATTGGCGCAAACAACAACAAGTTCTACTACATCCAGCTGCTGGAGCACGATGCTGGCGGGAAGTTCTCCGTCTTCTGCCATTGGGGCCGAGTGGGCGAGAAGGGCCAGAGCCAATTTAAGTGCACGGACACCGCCTTAAACACAGCAATGTCCAATTTCAACAAGCAGATGAAGACCAAATCCGGGAAATACTGGGCCGAAAGAGAGAATGCTCTCGGCGGTGGAAAGTTTTATGCTTACCTCGTATGCTCGCCCCGTCCCTATCGTCTTCTTCTTTCAGATACTGATTGTGCCTGTAGGAGAGAAACTACGAGGACGATGACGACGAGGGCGATGCCATCAAGCCTCTGGACGATGGTCCTCCGGTCCCAAAGGCGGAGAGCAAGATCTCGAAGCCGCTCCAGGACCTGATGCAGCTCATCTTCAACCAAAACTACATGCAGCAGTCCATGGCATCGTTGTCGTACGACAGCAAGAAGCTCCCTCTCGGCAAGCTGTCCAAGAACACCATCATGCAGGTAAGAGGTTCTCGACTCGAGGGAACGATCGCAAGCACTAAACATTTTCTAGGGGTACGAAGCCCTCAAGATGATCGGGGACGTGATTGCCAATCCGCTCACGGCAACGACCAAATACTCCCACTACGGCTCGAACAACCGCGACATCCTGAACCAGTTGTCATCGCGCTATTACACGGTAATTCCTCACGACTTTGGCCGCAGCACACCGCCCAGCATCGACAACCCGCAGAGCCTGAAGAAGGAAACCGAGCTGGTCGAAAACTTGGTTGACATGAAGATCTCCTCCGAGATCATCAAAGACGCCAACAGCAACGCCTCCGAAGTCCACCCCATCGACACCCAATACCAGTCCCTCGGCCTCAACGAATCTGAGGCACTCGACCGGAACTCGACCGAATTCAAGAACCTGGAAGCGTACGTCAAGAAGACGCACGGCAAAACGCACGGCATCAAGCTCGCCGTCGAGGAGATCTTCCGGATCACTCGGTCAGTCGAAGAAGACCGGTGGACCGAAGCGGGCTGGCACCAGCACCCCAAAGACAACCGCAAGCTCCTGTGGCACGGCAGCCGCACCACCAACTTCGGCGGTATCCTCTCGCAGGGCCTGCGCATCGCGCCGCCCGAGGCCCCCGTCAACGGCTACATGTTCGACAAGGGCATCTACCTCGCCGACATCGTGTCGAAGTCCGCCAACTACTGCTGCGCCTCCTCGTCCGGGAACACCGGCCTGCTCATGCTCTGCGAAGCCCAGCTTGGCGACCCCATGCTCGAGCTCACGCACTCAGACTACCACGCCGCAAAGCGCTGCAAGGACAGCGGCCGCCTCGCCACCAAGGGCCTCGGGCAGACCGCGCCGAAGGCCTGGGAGGATGCCAGCGTCGTCCACCCCCAGCTCGCGGGCATCTCCATGCCAAAGGTCTCCGGTAAGGAGTCGACTATCTGTGCGGACCTTAACCCGAAAAATGCTTGGCTGCAGTACAACGAATACATCGTCTACGATGTCTCGCAGGTCAAGATCAGATATCTGTTCAGGTGCAAGTTCAACTACTAGACTACCTACTTGGAAGAAGGAGGGCGGGACAGTGTTTTGGTTGTTGCGTTTTTGGGATGGGCGGGGATTTGCGACGGCGTGTGTTGGGTTGTCTTTTTGGTTGTCTGCCGTTTTGCTTGCTTGCTTGTCGGGTTGCTTGCTTGTCGTTTTGCTTACTTTTCATATTGCTTACTATCTACTTGCTTGGTCTGCGTTTTGTGCGTGCAGAAAAAAGCTTCTTACCGGAATTTGAGCGATGCTTCCTTCCTCAGTACCTAGTGAATTGCGAATCGGGGGACGCGTGACACCTACAGTGTGGCCAGCGGCCAGTCATCGAGTATGTATACACCGTGGGTCTGTGAATGACCCCTCACGAGTCTCCATGGCTATCGGAGCTCACCTGGTGGAATACCTAGTCCCGCCAACCCAGCTGACCCAGCTGACCCTGTGTATTGCTATGATAGCTTGGGATGGACGTTCTGTCCCATTGTTCGGCCCTTCTTTCGGCCCGAGGGAAGGAAACAACAACAACAACCGGCACGGACCGAGACGCTGGTCGCTGGCTGCGGGCTGCTGGTCGCTGGGAATTCGCCGGAATGGTTCACTCGTTCGGTTGGAACGAGGCTCGAGCCGGGTGCTGCAAGGAGTGGTGATGAGTGGTGATGAGTGGATGGGCACGGCTTGTTGCTGGTTCGTCTCATCCGGATGGCTGGATGTGCTGGGACCCGTGAGTCTAGGTCGCAGTCGAGATAGCTCTTTTGCATACTTGTTACTTTTCAGTGGCTACATACGGCTTGGAATAACCATGGCTTGGAATAACTACGGGAAAGGAACCTGGAGCACGATGTCCGCAAGCGCACTAATTCGGCACTGAATGGATGGCTGCCAGCTAGGCCAGGCCAAATGGGTAGTCGATCCAGCATTGAGTCAGCTTGTTCGCATACGTGTCGATGGATACACGGCTTTGAAGACGAGAATGGGCTTGGAACATCTATAAAAATCCATATACACACAAGCGCAGTGCGCACTCCTACGCCCCATGGCAGACGGATTGAGTGGGCTTGTACTCTAGTCAAGCCACAGCTTGGCGAGCAGCCCCACCAATTTTTCCATTTTCCCAGCTGTACGTGCTCGCAACCTCTTTCACCATGTTCCTTCGACCGTGCATCCGCCGAATCGCACCACCACCACGAGTGCTCACGAGTAGTAGTATTTCTCAACGATGTTTCCAGACCAGCGGTACGTCGATTGTATTCAGTCCCAGGGTGCGAGAAGGATAAACCGCTTATCTGAGAACAGCGCCGCGAGCAGCAGGGCTATCACCCGCGCTGCTAAAACGAGCGCAAAGCATGCGTGACGAGCACGCCACGCTGAACGCGCAGCTATCCAGCAGCTTCGACGGCAAGATCGCGCGGCGAGTGGGCGAGCTCAGCGGGGTATCGCGGGCGCTGGCGGAGTACGAGGAGGCGCAGGCGGCGGTGGGCGAGCTCGTCGCCATGATGAACGAGAAGGCGCTGGATCCCGAGCTGCGCGTGCTCGCCGAGGAGGATTTCGCGGTCGCCCAGGGGACCGTAGAACGGCTTTCGGGCAGGATACAGCAGGCGCTGGTTAGGCCGCATCCGTTCGCGCATCTTCCTGCGCTGGTCGAGATACGGCCCGGCACTGGGGGCTCCGAGGCCGCGATCTTCGCAAATGATCTCTACAGGATGTATATGGCGTATTGCACCATCCGTGGGTGGGGCGTGCAGGTCGTGTCGCTGCATGAGACGGAGGCGGGGGATGGATTGCTGGAGGGGATCTTCGAGATTACGGAGGAGCGGGCGTACGAAGAGATGCGGCTCGAGGCGGGGGTGCACAGGGTGCAGAGGATCCCCGCAACCGAGAAGCAGGGCCGGGTGCACACGTCGACGGCGACGGTGATGGTGCTGCCGTCGTTCCCCACGTCGGAGCTGGCGGAAGGTGAGGAGGACCCCGACTCGGTCATCGATATGAAGGATGTGCGCGTGGACATCATGCGTGCGAGGGGCGCGGGCGGGCAGCACGTCAACACTACCGATTCGGCGGTCAGGATGACGCATATTCCCACTGGAACCGTGGCCGCGATTCAAGACACCCGGAGTCAGCATAAGAACCGCGAGAAGTGCTTGTCGGTCCTGAAGAGTAGGATCGCGCAGAAGCGCAGGGATCAGCGGGAGGCCGAGGAGCTGGCTCTGAGACGGGGTGCGGCGAAGGTTGGCGCCGGCAGGAGCGACAAGATGCGCACGTACAACTACTCGCAGAATAGAGTCACAGATCACAGGGCGGGATACAGTTTACATGATCTGCCGGGCTGCATGAAGGGAGAGGAGCTGGGCAAGATGATTGAGGAAGTCAAGAAGTGGAGGATGGGAGTGGACGTGGAGATGCTGGCGGATGCATGATTTGGCGTTGGACCAGCACGGGTATAATTTTTCGAATACCGTACATATCTCACGGTGAAACGCCCATGAGCAGTGGAACGCCAGCTGCAATCAAAGAGTCGTATGGGAGAGATACCCACAGAATTCGAGTTGAATATTACTTGCAAATCTCCACAGAACTTCGAGTGATCGATACTGCCATGTCTCCTCCGGTGCCGTAGGCACCGGTAGATACCTATTCTACTCCAGAGAACCCGGCCCATGTCCCTACGCCTTGTGAACCACTCACTCGGCATGAGCAGCCAGATAATATCGGACGTACATCGGACGGACAGCGTATTTGAGTGCCATCTCATGCAAAAAGAAAAAAATCTGCCGTCGAGCCAGCTCTTCATATAGCTGCCACATCGTCGGAGAGCGGGGGGTGATTAATGCCTCGTATATGCGGAGCAGCTGTCGGCAGCAGCCAGCACTACTATAAGAGCCGGCTAGGCAAGCAGCGAGCGCGCCGGGGGCGGGAGGATTACTCGGGTACTTACATACCGGTAGGTACGCACGCACTACCGACCGCCGCACTCCGCACTCCGTCCGCGCACCGTGACATTCCAACGAAGCCGCAGTCGGCCACTCCGGTCTCCAGGGAAGGAATGCGGCTCGTATCGCTCGATAACCCCCACTACGCGTCGATACGGGACTGCCACAGCCCCGCCCCGCCCGTATCCGTATCCGTGTCCATGTCCACCCGCGACGATCGCAGCAAGTATGATACCAAGCAAGACCTGTGCTGCGGGCTGCGGCGGGCAGAGGACGTGGAGGCCACGGGTGCTGGTGCTGGTGCTGGTGCGGCGACGTCCGAACTCCGCACGGCAGTTCTGAGCGCGACGAGGGTGACGAGGGTGATCCCCGAATTGCGAGTTTTTGTTATCCTCTCCGTCGCACTCCCTGGTCGGGAATCGACGGATGCGGAGGAAGGAACGAAGGAAGGAGTGTTTGCCGGGTACTTGGTCCCTCGCAGCTACTACTGCCGCTGCTGGTCGTGCTGGTCGTGCTGGTCGTGCTGGTTATGGTAGTGGGACGCGCATCGACACTGCCTACCTACTATACTGTGGCCCTGTGGGATTCCATACATATGTACTCAGTACATACGTATGGAGAACGTATGGAGAGGCGATATTAAGGGCTTCTCGTTCGCGTGGCTTCGACTTCACCTTCACCTTCACCTTCACCTTCACCTTCACCTCACCTTCAATGACCAGGACCAGGGCCAGGACAAGGGCCAGGACAGGGACAAGGACCAGCATTATCCGCACGCGGCGTGCGGAACATTCATACACCGGTACATATATCACTCGCGTCGTCGGGGGTCGGGGTCGCCTTGCTCTCTAGATATAGTACTATATATCCGCCGTTTCAGCTCCCTCCCTCCGTCCGCTCGGGTCCGGCTCTTTCGTCTCGCCTCGCTTTCGGCAGTCCCGTCCTTGTGCTCGCTCCCCCTCCCCACCACCACGACAACGACTCAACCCCACCCCGACCCCGACCCCGACCTCCCAGGGTACATAACTGCTCGTATGTACAAGGTACATAGCTCTGCTAGTGACAGCACGGATTGGGATTGAGATTTCGAGTTCCTATGTAGCATAGTCCGGCTTCTATGTACCTACCCACGTATTTGCTCTGTGTATCTACTAGGTATAGATACCACCTACCTATACATGTGTAGTACCATATAGGCGTCCAGTGTCCACGTCCACGTCTCACGTCACTCTGCCGCGCTCCATGTTGATGTTCGAGCCCCGTCCGCCCACTGCCGTAGCTGTTGCTGTTGCTCTCGAGTACCTACCTGGTTATGTACCACAAATGAACCCGTAACCCGTATCGTACATACGGTAACTAACCCCCGATCCATATCCATATCCACATCCATCCACCACCACCGTACATATCTAGCACATATCTAGGTGGATAGGTACCTAGTCGAAAGCAACGGCAGAGAGACAGCTGGCGATGGATGACCGGGGACTGCGGGGACTAGGGGGAGGGCGATCCTTGAGCATGCGATTGAGTCCACTGGTAAGTTCGAAGTTCCAACCACCACCACCGAGCAGGCAGCTGTGGCCACTGGCTCCACCCTCTAGATAGATACCCGGACGAACAACCTACCCGTTCCCTTGCAAGTTGCAACTTCATCCGAAGCTCATGTAGGCGGGTGGACAAGCAACATAGCATAACTACATACCTCCCTATGTAGAGTATGTATGAGGTATGTACATGGTGCCGTAGCACGAAGCATGAACCACGAACCACGAAGCCCGTAGCATGAACCACGAAGTCCGTAGCATGAAGCATGAACCACGAAGCATGAAGCATGAAACAACCCGTCTCACGACTCACGAGTCGCCTCGTTGATGCATGCATTGCGGACCTATATGCACTCTAATATCCAGGTAGAGTATGTCGTCCGCAGTTAGCAACAACCAACCGACCGACCGACCGACCGACCGCAGGAGGAGGGCCCGAGTTGTCTGTTGTCTGTTGTTCTTATGGACGCGCTTTCGAGACTCCGCCAAGCCTCGCGGGTCTCACGGGTCTCGCGAGGATCGCGCGGCGAAATACTACCGACTTGGTAGAGAGGTTGTATGGCAACGGAACCTGTATGCCATGAGAATTTCCGGACTCTAACTAACTCAATTGGACCTAGGCTGATCTCTTAGCGTCCGGAAATTCTCATGGCATACATGTTCCGTTGCCATACAACCTCTCTACTGTATACGCCGAAGGAAGGAGCCTGGGGGGGCATGTCATGTTGGTTCTGTTTCTCTTTCTCTTTCTGCATCTGTGTTGTGTTGTGTTGTGCTGGGAAAATAGAAAAAGAAAAGAAAGAAAAAGAAAACTTTCTATGTGCATAAACCTCGGCCGCGGCCACGGTCTCGGTCTTGGTCTCGGACTCTCGGTGAACACGACGCTCGCTCGACGCTCGCTCGCAGATAATCACAAACCACCAACACCAGCACCAACACTACATACCATCACGGCGGGCGTGCGTAGCGTAGTAGAGTAGACTAGAGTACGGTAGTTAGTGCGTCGATCCCAACACCACGAGGGAAAGAAAAACCACCTAGATAAACGACCTAACAAAACTCCGTTCGAACTTCGTCTCATCTAGGTGATGATGGGTTTGTAGGTAGGTCCGTGCCACGGCCTACTCCAGACCCGATACTCTACTCTAGACCCGACAGATACCGGTAGCTTCTTCTCTTCTTCTTCTTCTTCTTCTATTTTTTTTTTCGAGCTGGGCCATGTGTAGCCCGGGAGACTCGGCACCGGCCATCACGCCTATGTATCATCATCATCATATCGGTAGCATGCAAGACGGTAACGCATCTCACATCTATCTTGCACTAGAGCAACTAACTTAACTACTGTAACTACTGCACATGTAACCACGGCCCCGACATCGGCGGCGAGGGCGCCGGGGGGGAGGGCCGGGGGGGAGGGAGAGGGCCGCAAAGTTGTCCGCGCCGCGCCACGCCACGCCGCGCCACGCCGCGCCACGCCCCGGGTCTTGTCTTGTCCTGTCTTTGTCTGGTCGTGTCGTGTTCACGTGGGTTGGCTGGGTGGCGGCCCAAACGCGAATAGTCGGGGAGGGGGCGGTTTCCGCGGATCAATCCGGACCCGGCCCCAGCCCCAGCCCCAGCCACGGACTCGGACCCAGACCTGGAGCCAGACCCGGCCCCCGGAGTGTCGGTTGGACAGAAAGAAAGAAAAAGAAAAGAAAAGAAAGGGAAAGGGAAGAAAAGGGGAAAAAAAGAGGGTGAAACTACTGGTAAACCGGGGAAAGAGACGGATGACGATGACACACGCGCACACAGCATCGGTCGACCGGCCGGCGAAAGATGAAGGAGGAGGGGGAGGAGAGACAGGTTCACGTGCGGCTTGCGTACCGCGGTGGAGTCACTGGGCTGGGCTGGGTAGAGGATGGAGGATCACTACTCCATCGCTACTATAGCGAGTGAGATTCCGTGCGCATCAAACTGACGACACTCCACTCCACCATACTCCACCATGCTCCACTCACCAGCTGCCTGGGACTCCGGGACTGGACTCCGGGTATGTTCTGTTCCCCAGCGCCAGAACAGCGGGCCCCCTCCTCCCCAGGTCCATCCCATCGATATCCCTCCTCCCTTCCAACCGAAATCACAGTCGCACCATATTCAGCCACCAAACCAACAGCCAGACAGACAGCTACCTACTCTGGATACATGCTCTGGGCTCTGCGTAGAGCGAATGAGCGGAGAGTAGTGCGCGCGCGCCACAAGCGCGGCGCGGCAGAGGCGAGTTGGAACATACATATAGGTGGTACTAACGACCTGGGTACTTATCGAAGTACTAGCATGTACCTAGAGTACTCTATCGCACCTACATGCTACCTAGATACCTGGTAGATCCGCTCATGTAGTTGCATATCGGCTGCACCGAGATTTGCCCCGTACCCGTGGGTGTGTGGTGTTTCTATGGGTTTGTGTGTGTGTGCGTGTGTGTATTATTTGTTATAATGATGGTAGTGGTGGTGGTGGTGGTGGTAGCTAGTAAATAGTGGTGCAAGTGCGTCGGTTGAATGTTGAATCGGCGACTGCGCCCAGTGCCCAGTGCCCAGTGCCCACGGGTCATTGTAGCTACCTGCTCTAGAGCATCCAACGTAAAGGATCGTATGTATGTAAGGCGAGGGAAACGCCATCGTATCTATCCAGAGCAGGTAGGCAGATTAGGTAGGTACCGTATTTTGTTTAGCTGGGTATACAGGTAGATACCGACGAGTGAACGCCGCACACCGGACGATGGATGATGGATGATGACGGATACGAACTCGATATACACCTATGGCATGGTACCCCCCGAAGGCGAAGGTGAAGTTGAAGCGTACGCGTTTCGATACGGGTTTCCAGGTGAGATGTAGAGTGTGTATGTATGTACTCCACCTGTAAGGACATAGGTACATACTTCCGTAGTCCTGTCCTGTGGTGTATGGTACAGCCCCTCCCCGGTATCTATTCCTTCCTCCAGCTTCCTCCACGCTTCCATCGAGTACCTATGCACATCATATGTACCCGATATGTATGTATGGGCAGTCACGGTACATTCCGGCTGGATAAATACCCACATACATATCCACATAGCTAGAGTACCCCATCCCATTCCATTCCATTCGATGAGCTGAGCTGAAGGATGGAGAGGGAAAGAAAGCATGACGCATGCTCCGCGACGCCTCGCCCCGCCCCCGCCCTGCCCCCCGTTGTGTTGGACGCATATGTATGTGTACTCTAGTACTGACATACACACATACATGTCATGCTGCACGTTCCGCCAAGCGTGAGGGGACGACTGGTTGGGACGGGAATGGGGCGGTTTGTTTGCAATGTTGAAGTTGAACGCAGGCCAGGCAGTAGATAGAGTAATGTGGCTGGTGAGGTGGTCGCTATTTTTGTTTTTGTTTTTGCTCAGTTTTGTTATTATTTTATTTTCGTGCTTGTGGTGTCTGAGACTCTGAGATGCATGGATGGGATCCGCAGGTCTCGGTGGTGGTTGTGGTTTGCGTGCACATGGAAGGAAGAGCTGGCCTGGCTGGCCTGGCTGGCCAGCACTGTGCATGCTCTACTTGGGTAGAGTAGATAGCCCACTCACTCATCCGACCGACCGGCGACCGCCCCAGCCCAACCCATGATCATCATCGTCATCGTCATCGCGAACGAAGAAGGAGGAGGGAAAGAAAGAAAGAAAGACACTTGGAGCGGAGAGACACAGAAACAACTCGCGCATAGAGCGAAATACTCGAGGCCGCTAACTAGAGCACGATAGAGGGGGGATGTGTATATAGCATCATAGCATAGAGTAGGCAGAGTAGAGTAGAGTATTATCGCACGATGCGGCGGCCCCCTCTTTTGCTCGCTCGTTCGCTCGTTCGTTCGCTCGTTCGTTCCGTTTTGTGGGGTAATCTGACGAGACGAGACGAGACGAGACGGAAGCAAAGGAAGGAAGGAAGAAAGAAGGGCCTAGGTTTCCAGGGATCCGATGAGTACCTACATCCTAGGGGCAGCGAAAAAGCAAATACCAGAATAAACCATACACACATACATGTGGAGCTTCGTTCGTTCGCCGGTGTCGCGGTGCGTCCACCCATCATGTCCGCCGACAGGTGAGTTGGTGGAGAAGAGTAGAGTACCCAGTTATGGCCCAGTAAGCAAGTCGGTAGGTGCTAGTACTATAGTTAGTTGCAGTGATTCGAGATAAGTAAGTGGGACGCCCGATTGACTTGCTCACCGACTGAGGTCAGCCTGCCTGCCTGCTGCGGGTTGGTGGAGGAGTCTTGAAGAGGAGGAGCCTGGAGGAGTCTGGAGGAGGAATTAGTTAGGGGTGGGGGGTTTACGAGTCAGTCGCTCGCGCATTTTCAGTTTGTGAGAACTCGCCAGCCAGCCGGTGATGTCCCCGCCGTTCTAGCTATGGAATTTGCAGCCAGCACCTCACTCACCACCTACCAGCTGCAGGCAGGCAGGCCAGCTCAAATTACATATAAACCCCACCTACCGGTTGGAAGAAGACGAAGAAAGAAGTAAAAAAGAAATGACCGAAAAACCTCACAACACCTTCCTTCATCCCTCCCTAGCTTAGCTTTGCTGCTCCCACTGCTGCTGCTGCTGCTCTTGTTGGTGGCGAGCACACACACACACAACCCACACCCACACACACACACACACACACACCCACACACACACCCACAGCCCGGGAAAGGAAAAAACAAAAACAAAAACAAAAAAGAGATATAACGTCAGCAGCCAGATCGACGCACGCACGCACGCACGCACGCAAAAAAAGACGACAGCCTCCCCCGCTGGGCCCCCCAGCAGGAGCAGCAGCAGCCGCCCACCCACCCATCCATCCACACATCCATCCATCCCTTTCCCTTTCCCTTTCCCTCGCTTGTCTGTTCGTCGTTTCGGCGTGATACCCGAGCTGATGGACGCTTGTCTTGATTGGGTGGCCGGGGAAGGAAGGGTTAGTGTGAGTGTAGAGTGTACATAGATACTGGGAACAGTTGTAGAGCGGAGAGCTGGGTGTGGGTGTGGGCCCGGTGGTGCGTGGTGGTGGGGCCAGGCTGGCTGAGTGCTGAGGCAGTGGGGCTTATTGGCTTATTGGCTGGTTGGCTGGCTGGCTGGGCCTTGTCGCCGGGCTGTGGACGCTCCCTCCTGCTCCTCCTGCCTCCTGTTCCTCCTGCTTCGCTCGTTCGTTGGCCAGCACCCAGCACCCAGCACCCAGCACCCAGCCAGCTGCCGCGTACGTAGGTTGCGTGGGTTAAATAGGACCCTGATGCGGAGTTTACTATGATACTTACGGAAGCCTGTACTCTACTCTATCAGATGTATGATGGGGGACATGATAGCCAGCTCGATAGTTACCTCCATGGTTCTATGCTATGGCAACCGATAGAACCGTAAATTATCGATCATCGTCGATACGATAGGTTATATCCCCCCACTCAACGCCCCCCAACGCCCCCCCCAACGTTCCTTCTCCCGGAAGGAGTACCTGCCCAGAGTACACGAAACGATTGTGGCCGGTCGGTCAGTCGGAAAGGTCGAGCTCCCCACGCAATGGATACTCTATTCTACTCACGAGAGAGGGCGAGAGTTGTGCCACCGATTCGTCGCAGTAATCAACCCCACGCTTTTGCCCCCCTCACCCAGAAATTCCGCGCCTGTCTCCCTCCCTCTCCCTCTCCCTCCCTCACTCTCGTGAACACCTAGCGCGGGCCGCGGAATCGGGGATTCGAAGAAGGTACCAAGGTTTTTGAGCTGAGTTTCCAATATCCGAAACGAGAAACACTGATGATGATGAGGACACACCCACCGCCCACCGCCCACCGCCTGCTGACACGTGAACGGAGCCCCGCCCATGTTTCTAAACATGGGTTTGTTCCAAATTCCCACGTTTACATACGGTTCCCAGTGCCAGTGCCGTGCCAGTGCCGTTCCGTGCTCACTGAATCGTGATGACATGACACGCAGTGACGGAGTTGGATATAACTAACGAAGTAGCTAACTGCGGTACTTACTCTACCTTACCTTACAGGTACTTGTGTACCCATCGAGATTCGAGATTCGAGAGCGATGATGCTGATGCTGATGCTGATGCACGACATGTATAGTGAGTGGTTAGCGCCGAGGCTGGAGGGGATATAAACAGCTGGTGATATCAAGGCGATATGTTTGTACATGATCGATACACAGTCGATAGTCGATAGTCGATACCTGGCATCCTGGGCCCTGGCCTCTGGACTGGAGGAGTAAAGTGAAGTCAAGTAAAGTAGAAGTATTAACCGACATTAACTTCTCTACATAATGTTAGTGTTAGTGTGCTGTTGGGTATGAAATGTATGTGGGTAAGTGCTCAGGTAGTCATGTCGGGAGAGGTGACATGAGTTAAGTTGAGGTGAGATCGAAAGTGGCACAGTTGAGATTAATTATACCCAGCAGGCAGGTATCAAGTATTGCGTTGCTCGTCTCGGATTACAGCACTGGAAGTCTCAAAATCTTGGTTATTCTTCGCGACCTTCCCTGTTCGATTCAACTGCCTTTCATCCACATCCATCCACAACTATCCACGCCACGTCCCACGTCCAAGTCCAAGTCCAACCTTTCCTCCTCCTCCTCCTCCCTACCGGAGATACCCGTCAGACAAGAAAAGCCGCTCTCAAGTCCGCCGCCCCCCTCCCAAAAAAAACATATCTTTCTAAAAGTTGGATAAGACTCCTTTCGTCAAAAAAAAATGAAAAGACGAAAAAAAATAAAAAAAACCTCGCGATCCCCAAAACCCCTGCTTGCTATGCTAGTTGTGTGCCCCGTCTTTAACTTCTCCGAAAACGGACTGCAAAAAAAAAGTAAACCACGAAAACCCCCCAACCCGATGCCCTCAAAGAAGGAAGTGTACAATCGATAAAATAGAAAAACCCCGCCCCCCACCGCGTTAAGCAAATAAATAATGAAAAGCGAAAAACAAAAAATAAACCAGCCTAAACCAAAAAAAAAACCCCACACGCGCCGTTATGCCGATACAGATAAAGATACAGTTTATGTGCAGAAAGCGAAAGAAAGCAGAAAACACCGCCCGCCCTGGGAGACAAAGGAATGCCGAATGAGTGTGACTTGGGAAAAAAAAATGTAAAAATGTAAACAAACAAACGCAATCGATCCCCGTATGTAATGTCGAATGTTGTAAGTAATAGATACCGAAGAAGCGAAGGTTCAAAAAATATATATAAAAAAGCAAGCGAAAGTTTAATACACGGACTCGCGGCGCGTGCGCCAGGAATCGTCGCGGATGTCACTGCTGTTGTCTTCGTCCTTAATCATCTTGGCTGGCAGGCCGAAGCTGCGCTCGAGAACGAGCCCTCGGCCAAGTGTTGGCCGGAGCTGGTCGTGGGGCGTCACTGGTGAGCAATTGACCGGTGTGGCACAGTACATGAGGTCCGGCGTGTCGTCGTAGAGTCCCATGCCTCGCAGCTCGGTGTTTCCGTAATTGGGCAGAACAGATTTGTCGTCCTTCTCTTCGTCCTCGTCCTCCTCCTCGTCCTCCTCTTCTTCCTCCTCCTCGTCCTCCTCCACCTCTTCCGCTGCTGGGGCGGACTGAGACACTGGGGATGCCGTCAGGGATGGAACTGTGTATGGCGATGCGTGCTGGGACTCGAATCCGCTCTGGTAAGCGAGCTGACCGATGTAGTTGTCGGCACTGGCCATAGGGACTTGGTAGGCGCTGTACTGGTACTGGCCGTTGTTGTTCTCGACGGGCACCAACAGGAAAGCCGAAGGAGCCGAGTGGTTGGCATACTGCAGCGGCGAGCCAGCCGGAGTGATTGGCGAAGCCGGTAGCTGTTGTTGATGTTGCTGTTGTTGGAACTGAGTCTGGAACGGGCTCGTCTGGCAACTCCCGGCGGTCTCATCCTGGAAACACCCCCCGTAGAAATCCGTCATCTGCGGGTACTCCATGGGCAAGTTGTACCCTGCCATATCACCATATCCCCAGCCCATCGACTTTTCCTGCTGCTGCTCCCACGCCATTCCCATTCCCATTCCCATTCCCATTCCCATGCCCATATCCATATCCTCCACTCCGGTCATCTGGTCAAGCGTGAACTGTGCTGGCTCGAAACCACCGAGCTCCTGCTGCGTGAACAGCGGGGCATCCGGGTGGTATATTGATGGGTCGTAGTAGACTTGTCGTTCTGCGTCGTAGCTCTGATCGAAACCATATGTGTAGGCCATTGAGTCCATGTTGTATGAATGTGTCTACGGATACAGATCAGAGGAGTGTTCACGGAAGGGTTGGAAGAATGATTGAGCATACAGTGTGATGATTATTTGAGGTGGAGAAGAGGGAAGTGAGTTGTAGTCGAGTCGTGGGTGATGGTGAGTGGTGAGTAATGGTTGAGGGTGGGTGGGGATGGACTCGAGTCGAATATTGATGTTGACGATGAAGTGAATATGGAAGGGAAGTCTACAAATATATCTATCTTTGTGTATGCGTGGGTGTGTGTGGGGGAGGGGGGGGGGGGTGGGAGAGATCGATCTCGAGGGGACCATGCCCGATAAGTACTACCCGAAGTCAGACCACATGGGGAAGAACGGCAACGTAACGCATGGTCACTTTCCTCCTCAGCGGTTGGCAAAGCGACACACTAGCAGATGTATGTATGAAGCAAGAGACGATCCCGCGAGACAGGATTCGGTACGGAAATTTGAAGGGGCCGCGTCGTTATAACTGGTCATAACGGACGGAAAGCATGGATGTGCATGGGCGCGCGCGGAAGATGCAGCAGTAGCAGCAGCATGTGTGTATATGCTAGAGTAGGTTTTTTTTTCTTTTAGGAGGGGGGGTTAGCGGAGGGGGGAGGGGTGTGTGGAGGGTGGATGAGACTCAGTGGGAACAAAGGCCATGCAGCTGAGATCTCGATTCAGAAAGCGGAGGGTGTGATTTGACGAGCGGGCAGCGTGGAGGTATCAAAAGGTCGATAGGGTGGGCCATGGACATGGGGGGACGTTTAGAGGGTTGATGTAAGAGAGGGTGTGGTGGACATGGGTGATGGCTCGGGAAAAATAGTCTGGAGTGCGGGCAAGGGTGTTTGGTTGGAGGAAAGGACCCACGCCGGGTTGTTGGTACAGCAGCTAGATTTCTGTGTGGGTACGTGCGCGGTCGAGCCGACGACAAGGTTACAAGGGAGGGGCGGGGGGGTATAGCATGAGGAAGACGAGGGAGGGGATGACTGGCTAAGGCGAGGAGGGGGTGGATGTTGTAGGCCGGCTGGGGCAAAAGTGCGGTGGTGGTGGTGGTGGTGATGATGATGCTGGTAAGTGGTGATGGTGGTGGCTAACTTAGAATTCTGCAGAGGGTGGTTGCAGGCAGGCGGACGACTCACGATGCAAAGCCAAAGTGCAAGGAAAAAGCAAAGCTGCATTTTGCATTTTGCATTTTGCCCTTTGCACTTCCACCTCTCTCGCTAGTGCAAGTTTCTTCTTCTTCGTCTTTCTTCCTCTTTGAATTCTTCACGTCAGCTAGAATGGAGGCACCAACTGCCTAGCATACCGTAGTGTGTAGCCGGAGTGGGGAACAGACCTATCCACCAGCCAGGCCGGATCACGACAGAGCGAAAGAGGAGAAGGAAGGAAGGGCGAGAGCGGGCGCCGAGCACACACACACAGACACACACACACACTTCTCTCTCTCTCTCTCTCTCTCTCTCTCTCTCTCTCTCTCTCTCTCTCTCTCTCTCTCTCTCTCTCTCTCTCTCTCTCTCTCTCTCTCTCTCTCTCTCTCTCTCTCTCTCTCTCTCTCTGTCTCTGTCTCTCTCTCTCCTCTCTCTCTCTCTCGCATTCCATTCCATCATGAGCTGTGGGGCCATGACCACACACACTCTCTCTCTCTCTGCCTCTCACGTACTCTAACTCCACACAAGGGCCGGAGCGCGTGCTGAGGTGCGTGGCGGCGGCGGGCGGAGTTGCGATCCACTAGCGACTGCGAGCCAACCCCAACAACCTAATCACCGAGCGAGGCCATCGCCGCGGAGAGAAGGTCGGTACGTGGTTGATGTAGGTACTCTACACCCTCTACATACATGCTCTATGATACACACTACTCGCGTCAGACATACCCGGATGTATCCAGTGATTCGCCTGCGTCGTCGGTGGAACGGGCGGAGCAATGTAGTGCAAGGGCCAGTGATGGTGGTCATGGTGGTGGCCATGGTGGTGGTGGTGCTGCTGCTGCTGCGAGGGGAAGGAATGTTCATGTCGGGCCTTATCATTATCGGCAGGAGCAACCGACGAGCAGGCCGCGACGCCACGAAACCTCACAACCACCACCACCTGTAGAGTAACTACTCTAGAGCATGTATGTATGATATGTACGCTGCGCACTTCCCCTCGAGGACCGAACGAACAAGGTTGGTGGGGCAGAAGCAGCAGCAGCACCCTACATACCCAGAAACTTGCATTGCAGATCGCTCTAAGGCTCGCGCAAGGGTTCACAATTGCTCAAAGGATAGGCGTCTGCCCGTATGAGATGGGGCGCGGTGCGGTGCGGTATGTAGAGCAGGTAGGTATTTCCCCCATCCCTCCTCCCCCATGCGCTCCGGTCCATCATCATGGATGTCACCGTAAGTACAGATATGCGGTTGGCCGCTGCCCCTTGCAAGTCGAACGTTTCGCCATGCCGACTCAAAACCTCTAAATGACTGGTTCCTTCGTCCCGGTACGACACCCCCCTCCCCTCCTCCAACGACCACCAGGTCGGGCAGGCAGGCTACGGGGTTTCCTCTGCGTGCGGTTCAGGTGGACGACGGTGATGATGATGTATGCTGTTGGCTGCTGCAAATGTGTGGGTGAGCGAGTGAGTGCGTGCGTGGTTGCTTGCGTGTGTGTGGATTCGGACACATGTTCGGAGCGCTGATTGCCCATAGTCGAATCAGCTAGGGTTTTGGATTGGAATGACGGTGCTGGTTAGCGCTCGACTTGCTGTTTCCCCATGATCGTGTCATGACCTGCAGCAAGTATGTACACAGGTACCTACCTGGGTAGACGGAGTGCTCTGGGGACACTGGTCGCTATCCATCCATATTGGTCGGAAGGAAGGATCGCGAAAGGCGGCATCCGATGATACACAAACGACGGCTTCCATGCTTCGTGATCAAGTTGGCGTACGTACGTACGCCAAACGTATCATATGTAACTCCGCCCATAAGACGGACGTGGGGACGGACACGGCCGGACGGGACGCGGGAGCGAGAGAGCGAGGCAGCAAGGGAGCAAGGGAGCGAAGGAGCGAGCAACATGTTATCACAGGCGAATATGAAAAATCGCAGACGTCTGTTTGAAGGCAAGCAAACCCTGATTTGCCGCTGTCCTCTCCGAACGCGGACGGGAAGGAGCTTCCCCCGTCGCGTCCAGCCATGCCTAGTGCGACGAGCCACGGCCCCATCGGCTGTCTGTGTCGTGTGTCGTGTCTTGTCGTGTTGTTGTGTTGTGTCGTGTTTGACGAACAAAAAGTTGCATATCTGTCGGATTTTAGATCCCTCACCTGCCTACCGTGCCCACCCCCCCCTTGAATGGTGGAGACAAAACAGTCGAATGTTGCGCAGGACGGGGCTGGAACGTGGCGATCGTCTTATTATTCCTCCGCCTCCGCCTCCTCCTCCTCCATGCGGTCCGCGGAAGTCAGTCACCACCTACCAGGTAGGTAGTGGCCCGGAACAGAAAGCGTATTCCGCAAGGGCATGCAAAGACGACGCCCGACGATATAGAGTATTATCGCGATTGCTCGCCCATGCACCAATGCAGAACGCGGCGTCGCACTTCCCGGCTGCAAAGTGGATGTGTCCGGAAAACCGTGCGAGCGCGTAGATAACTACTGTGGCCACTGTGGTGCACCGAGCACTGAGCACAGCACCGAGAAGAGAGTGCACATGAACCATATTCACAAGCAGTTAAAGCACTCTGGGCTCACTGTGCGCAGGCCTCATCGTTATTAGCCGACAATTATCTAACTGACCGACCGACCGACGACGACGACGACGGGTACATGCCCTTTTGGTGATGAGTTGGCTGTTATTACCATGGTTGACACTTATTATATTGCATGCCGTCCCCCTCCCCCCATGCCTCCTCGTACCTCCGCCCCCCTCCCCCCCCTCCCAGCTTCAGGATTAAGCGCACGCCTCTCCGCGTCGGAGGTTCATGATTCGCCTGCAGTTCCTGACCCGCGGCTAGCAGGCTCCCTATGCCTATGCTGACGATAGAGTACCTAGATGTACATAGAGTACAGACTCGTTCGTTCCCTTCCCGGGATCTGGCCTGGCAGCTCGGTATCGGCAGTTATCGTACAGCCCTGCCAAACATGGATGTCCATGCCCGCAGGATTCGAACGCAGAGGCCGTTTTGATTGGCCGAGAGCGCTAGCTGGCCCACTAATAGTCCCGGGCATCTGGTGTCAGGAAAAAAAAATACGATGCCCCACACTTTCCCCCCCTCCTCCCCCTCCCCTCACGCAGCCTTTCTGGAACGTGCGTCCGTGCTCCTAGAGTAGAGTACATACCGGTAACTAAACTAAGGACCTAGACTAAAAGTACTTATTTGCCTCTCGCTCCCTCGGTGTGTTCGGAAGCTGTTTGTCTGTTGGACCCTCTCCAAGGGGAAATTTCGAATTTTGCATGTAGGCGCTACGCTACGAGGGGCGAGAGCGAGCGACCGACCGACCACGACAGCGTGGCGTGGCGTGCGAGAGCGACGGACTGGGATCCTTCATGCGGCAACTATCGTGATGCTTGCTCGGTGGTGATGGTGGTGGTGTCTTCTAGCCGGCGAGCGCCGCTCATGATGATGCTGCTGCTGCTGCTGCTGATGATGATGCTGATGATGTCCTAACTTAGTTGGTGAGCCTGAAATGGAAGGTTTCCGTCGCAGCCGCATTGCAGCTGGAAGGACCGACGCTAGGTCGGTCCGGGGCATAATGAGTAAGCGGCACCCACCACCTAACCACCCACCTCGGTCCCTCCAACCCACCTGTCACCCTGGCCCGCGCTGGCTGGCTGGCACCCAGCACATCTAGAAGTAGCCGCCGGGCCGGAGACGCCGCCATACGATCGCTCGGGACCTTGTCCACTACTCTCCGGCCGCTCCTTCCCTCCACCGCATCCGCACCGCACCGACCACATCGTCTACATGCACACATATATAGGCGGCCCGGGACCTGCAACGTCTCCAATTGAGTGCATACCTCCATACATGCTCTATGTACATACAGGCAGAGTGATCGATGCCAACAGCCGTTCCAGGCGAGCACCGATCGGCCCATCAGAAGGAAGGAAGGTTATGGCAGCGGCGAATCAAATGGCTCCCCACCTCGGGGGCATCCAATGCGCACACATACACTCACGGAGATACTCCCCCGACGTGTGTATGTAGGGACCTAGGTACTCTGCCTGTTTTCGGTAGAAGGAAGAAGAGATGCTCGACCGCACTCTAGAGGCGATGATCGCTTGTACCTAGTGGTGCGTTCTGGAAAGAAAATCTCCGGTGAGAGTGGGTGCGCCAGCCGGGGAACACAGGAAAGAGACAGCAGCTCGATGCGCATCGACCATACATACATGGTATCTCTACATACCTGGAGTACATGCCTTAACGGTTTCCTGCTTTGCGAGAAACATGCTCATCTGGCGGCCCTTCATTCGGCCGCCCCCGCCGCCCCCGCTGCGTCACCAGGTTCAGCTGCTTTCCTGTCGAGCTCTCTCCAGCCGCTCGGATGTACCTAGAGTATGGGGGTCTACTGCCTCAGTACGGAAGTGTTTGGAGGGAGGGAGGGAAACGGATCCACCACCACCACCGGCGGTTGGACGCCCGACGAGTACCAATAGTAGATTCAAAACTCCCCGTGCTAGGATTGCGAGTCCAAACATCCAGCCGATTCCGGGTGAGGCCTTTGGGGTCGGTAGGTGGTTGCTCTACTCGAGATGGCAATGGCATCACCGATTCTCTAGGTATATCTCACAGCAAGCTCTGCGCAACGTTCTCTCGCTATCCTATCCTATCCTATCCTATTCTATTCTATCCTCCAAACCTCTATGTAACTACCGACGTCCTTATCGGGAGCTACCTAGGTAGTTAACCAACGCTTACCCGGGTTGATTGCTGCTCCCCATCGTTGTTGAATGGGTAAATGGGGCGTTGCTTTCGATATGTAGTACTATATGTAGGTTATTCGATTGCATCGGTTTCGATGGAATCTGGATGATATGCCTTCGGTTCGGTTCGACAGGGTAAATTTCCGGCGAGCTTGCTTGCGGCCTGTTCTTGTTGCACCGGGTGGAGTACGGGTAAATATCGAGGCTGCAAAAAGGCGCCCGTCTTCGAGATCACCACCACCACCACCAAAAAGGAATACGAGAACGCCCCCCAAAACGAAATCGTGATGAGAAATTCCGGTCAGACCTGTTCTCTGTGGATAGTAACATAGAGTATGTAGGCAGAGTAGAGTATCGTGGAACCTGCCGCGCGTTGCAGAGTGTTTTTTACTTTCTTTTTTTCCTTTTCAGCCCGTTTTCGAAGCAGAAGTTATGCAGAACTCGCGAGCTCGCCAGCCGGTGATGGCCATGGCCCGTGGTGGGCCGTGGGCATCGCAGCTCTGGTCAAAAGCAAAACGACATTAATAACAACAACATGCAACAACATGCAACAGCCATAATAACAACAACGGCAGCAATAACAATAACAACAACACGGCCTGAAGAGAAGAGGCCCATCCAGCAGTTGGTGGTGGTGGATACCTGCATGCAATGCACGAGAACTTGATACATGCTCTACACTCAGCCAGCAAAGGGAGTGTCAGAGCGCGGCAATCACTCTCCGCTCTCGCTTTGCCGTCGCTGTCGTCAGGTAGAGTAAGTGCGTCGGCGTTACACCTTCAGGCTTCAGCAAGGCGTCTGCAGTCACCACCACCGGCAGCATCGCAACTGCCATACCCATCGTCCGTCCATCTCGACAAATCAAATCATGCAACCTCGTGAATCGTCCATCCTTCCGGGTGTGACCTGAAACTAAGTTCCCAGTTAGGACACATCGGCTCAGGTTCAGGTTCAGGCTCAGGGGCAGTAGCGGAGTGCCTTCCTCGCCTGTATGGTACTCTGGGCAGTCCGCTAGTTAGGCATGATAGTTACGGTTTAACCAAGTACCGTATCTACATAGTCGCTGTCTAGAGTTCTACAGACGAACTTGTGTTGGACTTTTTGATCTCGCAAATTCCGCGTGGGACCCCCCCCTGTCACAGCGGTGGCCTGCTTGCTTTGTCCTCTCGAGTCTCGAGTCTCTTGTCTTGTTCGTGCTAAACCACCATCTCCGCGTTTTCTTCCATGTCATCCATCCCTGCCATCTTTTCTTTTTTTCCCTTTTCTCTTCCTTTCCTGGCCCAGCCCAGCCGTATGAAGCTTCTTCCTCCTCCACTTCCTCCTCCGCTTTCTTAGAGGTGACACGCGAAGTTCCTCCCCGCCCCCCCACCACCGACAGGACCGGACAGGATAGGACAGGATAGGAAATGACAGGGATGCCGTAGTTTATCGGGGCTGGACTGGACCTGTTTTTTTTTTTTTTTGTTCGACGGGTTCTCGCTACGCTGCTCTAGGCGGACTTAACGACGACGATGGCTTTTTTCGGCCATCCTTCCCGCCGACGACGAGTCGACGACGCTCCGGTATGCTAGGTCCGCAAGAGAGAAAAAAACACCGCCATGCCTACCTGGGAAAGCATGGACTCCATGTATCTATGATGGTAGTTGCCGCAACTCCATCGAATCGCGGAAAGTCACCAGCCAGCCTGATGCTACATGGAGTTACATGAGGTACCTACATGTATAAGGTACCTAGTCCCCATGAAGCACTCTGGGGCTCCGCTGCAACCGTAGAGTATGCATGCTATGCGGTGTCATAGGTCCTTGACCTTCCTACATGCGGTTCTATATACAAATCCATCCGTCCCATCCAAACATAGAGCACATAGGTAGCCCTTTCGGGCCTGTGCGCGCGCGCCGTATATGTGTGTAGAGTGGCTAAGCAGGTATCTATGTGCCGCAGGCCGTGTCAGCCATAGTACTGGTTATTCTACATAGGGCCCGCCGGCTGTTTGTGCTGTGCAGGAGGGCCCCGCGGGGTCGTGTAGAGTACTCTAGAGTATCGAACACGATCATCGTCGACTGCTAGGTTGGGCATGAGGCGTGTATGTAGAGTATGTGCTCTACATACTTCGGGGACGGGGGGGAGAGTGAGATGGGTCCGGTGGTTGGCTGGGCAAGTTCGCTCCCAGCTGCCCGTCGCAGCTGATGTGCGCACCGCATCCACCTCTTATCCGACCGACCGTCGTCCGACCGTCCGTTCATCCAACCGTCCGACCGCCCGCCGTCCGCCGTCCGTCGCCCGGCTGGAACTAGGTAAGCACCTAAGGTGCATACATGGCTAAGACATCGGGGTGCGGTGCGGCGGCGGCACCACCTCCACCATGTCGATGACGATGACATGTTCGCGCGCCCTTTCCCTTCCGTTCCTTTCCCTTCTCTTCCCTCCCCTTCCCTTCCCGTGGGGCCAGTCCCGTCCCAGCCAGCCAGCCAGCCAGTCAAGTCGGTCCGTCGGTAATGGGGATGGGGATGGGTTGGGTTGGGTTTGGGGTTTGGGTTGGGGGTTATGAACTTACTCAGTTGGGGAAGGCAACAAGAAGAAACTGCTTTTTTCTCACTTTCTTTTTTTTCTTTCGCTCTGCTGAGTTGCTCATCCATCCCCCACCCCTTGCTAAGTGGAGTAAGTTTCCTATTGGAGGGGGCTGGCTTGCTGGGCTGGCTTGCTGGGCTGGCTGGCTGGCCGGACTTCGAAATGCCTGAATTAGGTGTTCCTAGATGACTCCATCTCACAGCATGGATGGTTGGTTACGTGTTGACAAAAAAACACAAACGATCCCCAAGGGAAACGAAACATCTAGATTTGATTACGCCCCTGGGTACCCAAGCCATCATCTCCAATCGTCGGGAGGCCGGCCGGCCGGCTGACGACTGACGACTGACGACTCGCGCTCGCTGCGG